TCATGACATCAATAATGCTACTGATAGTACTAATGGGAGTACTAAGATGAAGGATACGAAGAGGAAAACCACAGGCGTTTTCTTAGTTCATCGGATTCTATGGATTTAGCAGGGATGTCGTACTGCGAGCCTGTCCGCATGACGAGGGGCAACGTAGATGATCGTGATCGCGGTCGCGAGTGTTGCATCGTCGCCATTGCCGTCACCGCCGTCGCCGTCATGTTCGCATCCGCGGCGATGTCGTCCGCGGTCGTTTTGGTTCAATCTTGATTCCCATATTTTTCTGGCATCGAATGTTTGGTAAGGACAGAAAGCGGAGCGTCCTGTCTGGACTCCGCGACCTGGTAGGTATTTCCGCGGCCATGGGGCTGCTGGCTGCTCCGAGTGAGACCAGCGACGTCGCGCCGAGAACGCGCGGTCCAACCACCGCTCCGTTCCGCCCCCGCCAGTGCTTGGAGCTCGGGGCGCGTGACCCAACGCAGTCACCGCAGGTGCGTGGAAGCGTAGGGCGCAGGCATCGCCCCGTCATGGCGGCGCTATCGCGCGCACCGCGGGCGCTATCGCTTCATCAGCGCAGGCGCTGCGCGTGAGTCCAGGCACCGCAAGCGCTTCATGTAATGCGGTGCAGGCGTCGCCTCGCCATCGAGCTGTCAGCGTAGGCACGGTGGGGGCAGTCGATTGATCCGCGCGGGCTCCGCGCGCGGCCAGGCGCAGGCGCCGCAGGGCACGCCAAATCATGGGGCGCGGGCACATCTTCGTCATCGCTCACCGCAGGCGCGCCGCCTCGTCCGGGGTTCGTCAGATGTCAGGGAACGTGGGGGGGGGGGAGGAGTTCGCGCGAACCATAGCGTCGTATCAACGCCATGGCCCCTGATGGAACGTCGCGCTCTCATCGGGGGCGAGTGCAGAGCGGGCGGGCTTCGGGGGGGGTGAGCCACTGAGCAAGGCTTCGGGAGGCCGAGCGGGCAACGCAGAGCCGCGGCGGCGGAGGTTGGCGCGCGCCCCAGTCCGCGCGCAGGAAGAAATAAGTTTTGATCTGGTCCACTGCGCGTCTGTGACAGGCATGGAAACCAGCTTCAATACGTGAAATACGGATGCGCCTGGAATGCCGACAGCAGTAATAACATAATTCGTAGAATCGTTATAGCAAAATTCGTACGGCCAAGAAGAATTTTCAGAACGATGAAAAGAATTATGAGAGGCTCCTGCCCTCCGGGGCGCCGCGGGGAGGTCGCGACGGTGGGCGCTCTCGCGCGACATGGGCTTCAAGGGGGGCCGCCTTTCTGGCCCGATGCCTGCGATCTGGGCCTCCAGCGGGCCGCCTTTCGGGTCCCGTCGCGCGCAGCTTGGTCCTCCAGGGGGCCGCTGTTCGTTCCTGCGCGCAGGGGTGCCCCTTCGCGGCAGTGACTTTTATTAAGCGGTTTTCGGTGTGCGCGGGGACGCCAAACCCAAGCGTGAGGGCCGCTGCGGCACGCCGCGCACCAAAGGTTTCTCTAGCCTAGGGCCACTCTTTCATGTAGCGGGGTCTTCTTGCTCTTGGGGCGCCAGCAGCGACGATTAGCGACGAAGAGTTTGTGTTTTAACCTCTGGCGCGTAACCCTCGTTACTCGGGCCACCCTCCCGGGTAACATGAACGATCCTGCAAGGGGGGGACGGGTGGTTGGGCCTTCCCCCACATGCTGGTGCTTGAGCGCATACACAGTCGATCGCAGCGCGCTCCCGCCCCGACGCGCCCCACCCCGCCCAAACACTACCGTTACCCAGCCCCTTCCCCGTGGTAGCGACCGCTAGGCGGAATCTGGAAGAATATGCAATTTCGAGAAAAACGATCACAGGGACGGAGCTCCGCAGGCTCCCGTGCCCACGTCGCAAGCAACAAATGACAGCATCGGATTTTTTTTGGGGCGGGAAAGGGGGGATCGGAGCGTGGGCAGGCTCCTGCCTCTCTGCTCCTTCCTCGCCCCGTTCCCTTCCGCCCTTTCTCTTTGGTCCTCCCTCGTCCCTCCCCTCCCCCACACCCCCTCTCCGACCCTCTTCTCTACCTCCCTCCCTCCCTTCCCCTTCCTCTCCTACTCCCTCCCTTCCTCATCCTGCTCCTCCACCTTGCCATCCTTTCCTTTCCCCTGTCAATATTTCCCCACCGTTATTTCTCTCCTCTCCTTCGCCTCCTTGTCCCGCGCCACCTTCCCATTATCCTCGCCCCCCGCCGCCGCCTCCACCCTCGTTTTCATCCGCTTTCGTTTTCGTTCTCCCGCGTTGTCTTCCTCACCCTCTTCCTTTTGCTCACCTTTTTTTCCATTACCTCGCAGCGACAAGGATGATAACGAGGAGGAGGAGGAGGAGGAGGAGGAAAAGGAGGAGGAGGAGGAAGAGGGGAAGGATGAAGAGGAGGAGGAGGAAGCCTCGGGCCCATGTGCCCGTGGCAGTGCGCCAGCCCTAGGGGGCCAGCCACGATTGAAAAGCACCCTGAATATCCAATACCTCTTACATGATTTGCCACTTTCCCGTAAACATACTCAAACTTCACTCTTTACATTTCGGAGATCCTTGGTATCTTTTGCGATCTGTGCGCCACAATAGCACCGCAGGCTCACGTCTTCGACAACGGCGTCTTACGAGCACCTATCGTCGACCACAACTCCGACCACGCCTCCCAACCCTGCGTGCACCATTTGCTGGGCCAGCCGGCCAATCACCACCATAGTTTCGACGTCTACGTCGTACGAGCGCTAGTCATTGCCATCGACAATGGCGGCATACGGACAACGACGGGCCGACACGGCGACAACCACTTCTCCAAATTTTGCTTGGCACCGCAGGGAACGAGAGAAGATAACAGCAGTTCGCTCGCTACTCAGAGTAACCTTTGCCAAAACGTTGTTAGACAATTCCTCACACGAGTAACTGCATGCGGCACAACACCTATTCAACCAGCATCACAGCGCACAACAACCACCTCGACTGACCACTAACATGTACGGACGCACGCCAGCGCCTCACGCTAAATGAAAGGGCGATGGGAAACACCACCATCACCAGCAGCACTACGGCAAGGGCAAGAACACCACCTGGCAACCCGTAGGCCAAAATGGATACAACAATTTTGCAGCAATCGCCGACATACTATCCAGCCCAAATGGCACAACTGCACCAAACAAGAGACGCATAACGCAATGCGGTATCATATATACAAGCGACAAGCTCTTGGAATCACTCCCAGTACACACAACCATAGCAGGGCGACCGCACGGAGACACCGGACCCAACAGAAGTCAGACAGGATCCGGAACAGGCACAACAACCAAGTACCTCAACCCGGCCATGGCAGCACCCGGCCGCGCAGCATACATCGACAGAGCAGCCAAGGCTCTCGTCGACAGCATGTCAGAAGCATGTTGCGACGACGCCCAAGAACAAATACCGACCAGGCAGTGCACCAATAGGAGTGGGAGCATGGACTACCTCCAAAGCAGCCAGCATCAGGAAGCCTGCACCACAAATACTGGCAGTTGAACAGGCGGGGTAACAATCATATCACATACGGCGCGAACTCGCAGCTACCAACAAAGCTACGCGATCATAAGCCCAAGCACGAACAACTATTGTACATGAGACAGCTCAAGGACGTCTGCGCGGCGCGCGCAAAGATCTCCGAGACTGCGCTCAAGCATGCGCCGCAATGACACGACGACGCCATGCGACTCGCAAAGACATGCACCAACATCGAAAAGGAGCTTGCCCACCAACGGCAACGCACTCCAGGGTTACACGACAACCGTGCCGCCTCATCCAGAGCGCAAGACAACCAGAACAACAAACACTCAGAAGCGAAGACGCCATTGCACCCGCTCAAAGCCCCAGCGGACAGGGCGACAACGCGGCGAGACTCAAGACATTATTAAAAGCATTGGACGACTTACAAGCAAGCGGCACAATCATTCAATAATTACAAGCTGCACAGCAACGCGTGCTAAACGACGAACAACGAACAATAGCAGCTCACACATGCAGAAGGCACCATCCAGCAACTGCGGGCCGCAAGCGACAACCTATCTAACGACTGCCACCAAACGCGTGAACAATTACAAGCGCTACAACGCACAGAGCAGCAATTCATGCGCACCTGATCATCAGCCCCGCGATGCGAAGCTGGCGAAGAGGAGCGCGCCAACATGACGGCCGAGCAGACCGAACAAAGAAACCAGCAATCCGAAGGCATTGTCACCCGAGCTCTCCAATGCCACGCGCAGCTGAAACGAGCCAAACACGACTGCGTCATTGCGCGCGGCAGTCGAGCACGCGCGCGCAACCGATGCGCCAGACAAGAAGAGGCACGAGCGACCATGGCCGAGCTACGACTAGAACTACATGCACAACAACATCAACAAGCAGCACAACATCCCATCGACCCCAACAAACACAAGGAAAGCATCGACCGAGAAAGGCGAGCAACCGAAGAGCGCATGCAACGTGCCATGCAACAGCTACACATGCACTGCGGGGCACAAGAAGCAGCGCTCGCTCAATGACCCCCCCCTGCGTGCGCATGGCTGAGCAAAGAATGTAGATGCTTGACCAAGGTCTCGCACAAGACGCCGCCAGCTTCCGGCGGCGCGGGCAGCGCGTGCGCAGGCGACGAGAGCAGCGCACCGCGTACTAGGCACAAAGGGCTTTAGCACAAGCGAGATTCGACCGAGAAGCACTCGCCGCGCAAGAAGCATTCACGACAGCGCGAAACTTTCAGCGGCACGATACAACGACGCTTGCTACTTACCAAGAAGAGAAAACAGCCGCCATCATTCTCAACGACGCAGCAGAACACCCTTGCGCCGTCAACCAGCACTACCAAAGACAACCCAGCGCAGCCGAACAACGCCAGCAATACACAGCGGCTCGCATCAGAAACCAGCAGTGCAAGACGAATCAGCACGAGGAGGCGGAGGCGCAATCTGGGCAATGGCACAGACAAAGACAGTAAGGGTTACAAGAACTACTGCGACATGCACGACAGCCAGACCACGCGCCAGCCGTGCCCGACGCAGGTCGACGAGGACATGCGCGTCAACCAGCTAGTGGACTACGGGTGCAGCATCCTGGAAAAAGAACGACTGGACATTCAATGCTGGCAGCCGCAACATGCGCCTGCCGCAGGGGAAGTGCAACGCTTACAAGATTAACTCGGCGACAGCATAGACACACCCGCGCCAGCGAGCGCGCAGGGCGCCGACCGACGTGGGGCGCGCCGCGACGATGAAGCAAAAAACCCAACCGACCAACCAGCTACAAAGATGACCATTGACTCGTCCCACGAAGCCACTGTCACGCCAACTGGGCCTGCCGCCCCCAGAGCGCCCCGCCGCGCGCGCGCCCCGCCCGCCCCGGCCAGGTCGCGCCGCGAAGCTGCTTCGCAACCGGGGGCGTCAGAAATTAGGGCAGCACTTGCGCGCGACGTGATTTCGGGGGGCGCGCCGAGGTACTTCGTCGCCCCGCAGCTGCCAGAAACGGCGTCGCAATGCGAAGCGCCGCGCCAACCATCCGACGCAGAATATGCACCGCGCAGAAAAGTCACAACCAGAGCTATCACCGACGACCGACCACAAGCATCGCATGCGCCCCCAAGAAGCCCGCCCCAACGCAGCCCCAGCGCACTTGTACCTGCCTTCCCAGGCCGACAGACTCTGCAGACAATCTCGAGCACGACCCAGCTCGTCGCCTGCAAAGTTCCACCCGTGCTGGGCCAGCCTTACTGCCGCGCGCCCTGCGATGTGGATCCGACAACGCAATGCAAATCCACTTAGATAGACGACGCCAGGTCTCGCGCGTTCAGTTTCAGCGTGCGTGACTTCAAGCAGCCAATCCCAAAGAACCTGCTCCAAGCAACTACAGACTCCCAATCTCGTAGCCGGCTACGATGCGACTTAATTGGCATTGAGTTTTACCCTGTCACGCAAGTAGCACTTCCTTATTTCGCGCAACCGTTGCAAGCCACAGAGAGCTTTCTCATCGACCCCGACGGCATACTGCAGCCGGCAAAAGACAATCTAGCGTGGACATTCGCCGCGCTCCACCTTGACGGACACCAACCAAACTACATTGGTCATCGCACTGGTCGCATCGCCCACAGCATGCAAAGCGACATAGACTACTCCCGACTGGGCAGCGAAAGGATTGAGCTAGCCGCCATCCCCTGGGCAACAATTTACGCAGCCCTGCAACCGCCCCACATCAACATGCATATGCACAATGATTCAGCCAACGCAATACAGCACCTCATAACGTAACGTCGAGCCTCCAAACGACCCAACCACGAGACTCGTTCAAGCCATCTTCTTCTGGGCAAGAAAACAACGTTACATCATCATTATGCAGCGCGTGCATGAGCACGGCGATCTCCCATGGAAATGGAACAAATTAGCAGACGCACCGGCAGAAGGCCGCGCAACGAGGCGCGCCGACGAAGAGCCATTCAGACGAGCAAGCACGCGCGCACAACCTGACGGCGCCATGCAACGCTCCTGTTGAAGCACCTGAACATATGCTGGACCACCCGCGCAGCTGCCGACGACAGTGACCGCGCGACGTTGCACCCCGACAGCCCTGGATTACGAACTGCAAAATGTAGTCTACCAGACTGAGATGGCGCGCCGCTGCTTTAATGCAACAAGACAGGAGAGCCGCGCCTGCAACCCTGCTGCGGAAGCTGAGCGACGAATCGACTAAGTGCATGAAAGGCATGGCTACATCCCAGCGCGCGCGCGTGCTGCACGCAGCGCTACGCGCAGCAGACAAAGACCACTTAATCGACCCACTCATAGCTAGTTGCGCCTCTCTCCAGGCAGCGATAACGCCGCTCGCTCTTCAATTCAAAAAAGACAGAGCGAACCACGCCACCCAACTATCCGACCAATTTCAGCACCTGCACGACCTACGCGGGCACGTCGCAGCACGGCATCACGCCGAAGCATCATTGCGATATTGACCCACTACTACGAAACCTGGCCAACAAAGCACGGGCCATGCCAGTCATTACAGACGCCGCAGGAAACGTACTCGAGAGTGACGAGCGGCAAGCGACCGAGTTCACCCATCACTTCGCACGATCTAAAGAAGCCAGGCTTGCTGACCACGATGACGTGCTCACAGTCTACAACAACGCACCAATCATAACCATTACACCTTCTACGCTTGAGCGTGTCATCGCGATGCCAAGAGTGACCGCAACTGTCAGAACAGCCAAGCGGCGCAAGCAGCCAGGAATATACATAACACAACTGACCTACTCAAAGCAGCACCATGCAGCACAGGCAGGCACGTGCATTCACGCCTGTTCAAATAGCCAACAATTACCATTTATATGGACGCATGGCACATCCATGTCGCTGCGCGAAGGCTAAGGCGCCACGGGCAACGCGACGCAATGCATGTCAGTTCCGTTAGGATCAGAGATATCCAAAGTACTGCATTACACGCTTCCCAGATGAATCCTTGCCACTGTTCTCAAACGAGCAATGCAGCCCACGCAATGTGGAGGTCCAGAAGGAATATCCATTTCCATTGCAGCGCGCGCAGCGCCCCTCATCAGCAGCTACAGACAAAGTCGCACAACAAAGACTATCATGAACTACATCGACCCCGCGGCAGCTTTCCGCGCAGCCGTGAGGGAGACAGTGTTCGCCGCTGCGCTCGCAAGCAGCCGTGTCAGCTACTTCTCCAAGAACGGTTTCTCGACCGCACTCATCCCGCTTGTGGGGGCCATCGCCGCGCGACCTGGCATTCAGGACATGCGACTCTGCGATCAGCACTTAGCAGCCCTACAAATCGAGTCGCGCAGAGCAGCGCATTTCACGTGTGCCAGCTCCAGCGTCGCAGCACGCCCCGCCAGAGGCTCTAGATCAGGCAAGAGCCTTGCAGATGCCGCACACAACCTCCAATGTGCAAAACCATTAGAACAACTGACGCGCAATATACACGACAAACCTTGCGCCACTGGGCCACCTGCACCTGCGCGCCCCCTCTCTCCACATACCAATCCACCAGCGCGCGTCAATGCGCCCATGCCACTAGCGTTGCCTTCGTCGTCGACGCGCTCCTCATGGCGCAAGGCAGAGACAACGAACTACTGTAGTGCTACATGGCGGACCCAGCCACCGCCGCGCATGCCATGCGAACGAGCTGCGGCTTCAAGCTCTACCGCAAACCGCGCACGTCAGCATTTAGATTGCACTTGGCAGGGCCAGGCGCACTGCATGCCAAGCAACGACTACTTGCGCGCGCAGACGCCAGCATATGCAGCCCATCCTGGGACGTGCAAATTACGACCACGCGCGTCCACGACTAACCGGGCGCCCACTTTGACCCGCCGCGTAGCGCAGACGCGCGAGCGACCCACCGAGTGACCGAGCAAAAAGCGACATTTACCCCACTCGAGGCCAGGCGCTTCAAGACATATTTTCGCGCATACATCAAAGTAAGGATTGCGGGCGCATTTTGCGAGCTGTCATCACTTCTGCCCGCCAGAAGCATGATATCCGCTTACCGACGGCGCGCCCGCTAAGTTAAACACCGCGCGTAGCCGAGCATGTCGAAGCGCCGCCCAACCACGCAACTTCCAACGGCCAGACAATCCGATTCCTGACTCACAACTACCACTCAACGCCGACAGAACCGTCTACCAGACATATCTCAAGCCACGATGCTTCGAATACTTACCCAAGCGCATTGCACATGGGCCACGCATGCTACTCAGACTCATCGACCTCTGCTGCGAGCAACGCCGCCAAGCAGTTAACGCGCAAGGGGCGCCAAGCAAGTGGACTCGGACTTACGGTAGCTAGCTACGCTCGCAACCGCGCCCGATGGCCCGCATCGACGCTGGAGCACCGAAGGGTGGATGCAACTCGCGCGCGAAGCCCCCGGGCAGCGCAACACTCAAGCCGACAACGCCAACACAAATAATACTGATCACTTTGAACGACCAACGCGACCCAGAATTATAGGCACAGCGAACGCAGCATACCGCCTTCACCAGCGAGACTCGACAGCATAGCCCACCGACACAAGCAACGGCCGACATCTGCAACAACGCATGTCGCCTGCTTAGCCCAACTGGCGAGGTCCTCAGGCTCGGTGTTCCAGCCCGCCAAGATGACCCGCGGCCAGGCGATGCCGCCCACCCAGGTTTGCAGGGTCTCCAGCAGCGCGATGCTGTCGCCAGCGGCCCCGATGCTGTCCACCATGTAGGCCGAGACAACGTAGATCGGGATGCCGGGCCCCGCGCTGAGCTTGGCTGCCTAGGCTCTGTGGGGGCACATCGCGCTGCACTCCTTGGGCCTCTCCTTTCTCGCCGCTGCCGCCGATGTCAGGACAGCCGCGCCGCCCGAGCTGTCAAGCGGGCCTGGGCCAGTCTCCAAGGCTGATGCGCCGATGAGCTCATGCTCAGCACGTTGCGCCCAGCTCGACGCCAATCTTATCCTCACAGGGTTCTTGAGTCGGTGCTGCTTGAGTCCAGCCGCGTCGAAGGTCAGCTTCTTGTCGCAGCGCCACTCCAGGAATCACCAGTCAGAGTAAGACCCCGCCCATTAAGGATGAACCGCGCCAGCGTGTTCCCACTAGGCGCTGGGGTGCCGGCGTTTATCCCGCCCCCGTGGCCCCCGGGGCGCTCCCTGAGTGCGGGGCCGCCACCGAGAATATTGACCGCCAGGGCAAGCTGAGAGGACAACTCACCGAACTCCAGTTCATCGCTACCCACTGCCCGCTGGGCACTTAGCCACCCGACGCGGCGCGCGACGTCGGCCTGCGTGGGAACTGCGCGCGGGCGGCCGCCCGAGTCCTGGTTGCCCGTCTTCGGTCCCCTTCCCCGGTTGAAATCCCGCCGTCGTGGAAAGACCGGGCCCCGCCGCGCGGAGAACACTTGGAAGGCTTGATCTTCGCCGCGGAAAAGAATAGCAACGGCGCGGCCAACGAGCCAAATCAGAACGCGCCAGGAACCATACCTCCCGCGTGCGACGAACTGATAGAAGACAGGCAGCGGCGCGCGCTCGGGCGCGGGGGGAACTCGCCAACTGCCCACCTGCGCACTCCCGCGAACGGGGGGCCGACCGCGCCCGCCCATTGCGGTGGGCGTTGAGGCGACAGCGACGCGGCCACCGCTGCGCCCGACAACGATGACGTCTTTAGCTCTGACAGTAGCTCGGATAGCGGCGCCTCGCAGGACCCCCCCCCTGCCAGCGCCACCCTGGCTGACGCGCAAGCCGTGCTAAATGTCGCGGTCGGCGCGCGGGAACTAATCCTCGCGCGCTGCCGCCCCACAGGATGTGGAGGCGACGGTGCCGTGCCGACTTGGGCCGACTTCGGCGATGAATGCGCGCGCTTTTCTCCCGCTCCGCAACCGCCCGCCCCCCCCCCCGTCCCTCCTTCGCCCTCGCGGACGACGCCCTCGTCAACTTCGCGCGCCGCCGCCCAGACCGTCGGGCGGGGCGGTCGGGTGGCTGGGCCACCCGTTAAGCGAAAGCCCTCCCAGATGCCATGCTGCGGCTTTCGCTCGGGTGCTGCGCGCCATGCGACGAGTGGGCAGCGTGCCCGAGCCCTATCTCCACGCCCCGAATTCTTGCCCCCAAAGGCGAGCCCCCCACCGACCAGCGTCTCCTCTCAGTCATAACGGTATGGATGTGCGCGCGGGAAGGCCCGACCCACCGCGGCCCTGGCGAGTGGCGGAAGGGCTGGGCCCGCCCCGCCAGTTTCGGCGCCGCCCCCAGGGCCGCCATTGGTGACGTCAGCACCTCAATCGCACTGCGCGTAGAACACGCACGACACCTCGCCGTTCCCCTGGCGGGAGCTGCCCCCGACAGGCAGACGTGGTTCGACTGCCCCATCGCGGACGTCTGCCCGTCGCCAGCCCGCCGCGCGGGGTGCCCACCTGGCGCCGTTCACGCCTGACGAAACTTCCGTGCTCTGCGCCGGCGTTATATCCGCATGGGCGGGGCCTATTCTCCGCCGCTTCAGCGCGCCAGCGGCCGCCTGCAGGGCAGCCCCTTGGTCCTTGGGCGACGCGCAGCAACTCGCGTGCGTTTGGGCATGCCGCCGGCGCCGCTACGCCCCCCCCCCGCTCTCTTCGTATTGCAAGTGTTGACGACGGTAGCTCTATTGCGGCTTCGGCGGAGGACCTGCGGCGATCTCTCGAAGCCGCCGCCCGCCGCTTTCGACCGTCTCTCAGGTCAAGAGAGCCGCCCGGCAAAGGTCGCGGGATGGGCCCTGGGCGCTCACCTTCATGCCTAGATCTCCCAGCTTACGCTCAACCTGAACCCCTTAATCTTCAGGATCACATCAAGCTTGTTGACAGCTACATCATCGTTGAGGCAGCGCCGCCCCTGGGCGCCCTAAATCCTCGCGCGCGTGGCCGGCGCCCGCGTTAGGCGAGCTCGTCAGCGTTCCCCTCGCAGTGGCCGCCATCCCACGGGGGTGGAAGCCGCGTCCCGACAGGCCAGATATTGCGGCTCGCGTCTGCGCTGCTGGGGCTGACGGCCAGGCACTTAGCACCGCGGCCGAGACGCTTGCAACAAGGCGCTTCTCGCAGCCGTCTGCCCCGAAGGTAGCGCATGGGCCAACTTCTGGGCCCTGTCGGCGGCGTGCATGCCAGGCCATGCCGTCGAACTGGGCGCCGTTATCCAATCGGAGACCGTTCTCGCGCTTCGACGACAGGTCTGTCGCGGCCATGAATTGAGTCGTCGGGCCGTCGAGCTCGGGAACCATGTCCAGACCGCCTGTGGTGGCGGGCCAAGTGGGCACCTTGCCCAGGTCCTTTAACAACTTTCTTGGACCTGGCCCGACTTGAACCTTTCTGCGGTGGTTGGGGGGCCCGCGTTAGCTGGGTGCACGAACCCCGAGGCGCTCTGCCCTCTTGCTGCGAGCCTCACAGCGACGGGCCTTCCTCGTAAACAACTAAACCCTCGCGCCACGACCTGGGGTACCTCCATGGAGTCAAGCAGGGCGCAGACATGTTCGCCACCGGGTGGCTGGCCCGCACCAAATGGGCTCAAACACTCAACGCCTGGCAGCGGGCCCCCCCCTGCAAGTGCCTAGCGGGTGGCGACATGCCCAGCAGCGCTGCGTGCGCGCCAGCATGTCCGCCGACCCCAGCCCGCTGTGCAGGCGCTGCGACGCCCCAAGAACACGCCATCTGGAGGTGCCCGTGTTGGGAAACCGAACGACGGCCCCGCACTGCGATGATCTTTGACGATCAACGGAAGGTCCTTCCACCGCGCGCGCCGCACTGTGGGCTCGTCGACGAATCGACTGAGCTCCTGGATCTCCAAGCTGAGCTACCCGGGGACATGCTACCTCAACCCACCCCTCGACCCTCGCCAAGGTCCCCGACGGCGACACCTTTGCCACCGGTACAGACCCTGACGGCAGTCAGTGGGCCTCTGCGAGTGAGCACCGGCAGGGCCTACTCGCGCCAAGCCATCCCAATGCTGGCGCGCGCTCTCTATGGTGTCTATTACGGCAGTGGCCACCGCCTACACTGCGCCGCGCGTGTCCACGGCCTTGCCCAGAACGTGCAGCGAGCCGAGACCTTAGCCCAGTCCGCAGATTTGCGGACAGCCAAGCCGTCGTTGACGGCTTCCAGCAAATCTTGGGCGGCCACGCTCAGCCGCCTGGCAAACTTGGCTTTTTCCCGAGTGGAGAAAGTCACGGGCCGTCTCGAGGACGAGGGCGTTAACGAAAACCGCATCAGCGTCGTCGCGGGAGTTCAACCGCCAAGCTGATCACCTGGCCCCGGGCGCAACTGCACTTCATCACCTCCCGCCCCATTTGATCGAAGAGGCCGCGCAGCGACACCGCTTCGCGGTCGTGCTGCACAGCGTTGCGGTCGCCATTTCCGACGAGCGATGCCGCGCTCTGCGGCTGCCTTACAGGCGGGCAGGCTTCGCAACCGCTCATCTGGGCTAGCTCGAACCGAGCCCCATGCTCACTGCCGCTGACCCCCCCCCCGCCCCCGCGGCCAACGGGGGGCCCCTGGAGGCCTCGGCAACTTCTGGGGGGAAGCTTACCGTGTCTGGGAGACTTAAGACGACGACGAGGAGGGCCCTCTTGGCTTCTGTGGAGGCCGGGGCGACCTAGACCCCCCGCCCATGCAACCGTCGCCGACGCAGCCCCGATGACGATCGCCCCGCGCCACAGGGCCAGTTGCACCGACCTCCGTCGTGCCTGCTTGAGACCCCGCGGCCGCGCCGCCCGAGGACGGGGTCGATCGCGTGCTGGGTCGGGGCATCGACCCAGGGGCACCGGCCATGGTCGCGCCCACGGGGGAGCTTGTCCCGCCACCTGACCAATTGCAACGCCGATGCTGACGCAGTGGCGAGGGTGAGGCCCCCCTTGCCACCGCCCGGGAAGTGTTCGAGCGTCACCTGCGCCATCCCCGCGCACGAAGTCCTTGGTAAGCGAACTGGAGAAACCCTCGCCGAGGGAGCCGCGACGCAGGCCCCCCGAGAGGAAGGGACGACCACTCTCCTCCCCTCGAGCCAAACCGAGTCGACTCAGAGGCCACATGGGCTACGGGCAATTCTGGTGACGCCCACGTTAAGGCCCAAGCTCCGCTCAAGTTGCTGACATGCATGACCGCGACAAGTGCCTGCACAGCGCGGCCGCTCACGTGAGCCCCCCACAGGGTAAGTGCCCACCCGCGGGCCGGGGCCGTGACAAGTGCACCTACCCGCCCCCGACTACCGTCCGCGCCCAGAGGCCGCGCTCTGGGCCGGGCTCGGGAACTGGCTCCCCTCCCAAGCTCGACGAGAACCCCATTGACCCAGTCGCAGGCTCTCCCGCGGTCCATGCGGGCCCCTGCCGAGCCGCCGAACCCAGCTGGCAGTTCTGACTCCCGTCCTCCCCGTGACGGAGCGGGCAATGCGCCCCCTGTCCGTCCGCGGGGCCCTACGGCGCCGCCCTACGGCGCCCCGAGGCTGAACCTATGCCAACGCGAGGCGCGCATCGCCGCGCCGACCTTGCCACGCGCTTCGCCAATAGGACTGTTGCTGGCCGTCCACGCCAAGCTCCGAGCTCAGCCCATGGCCGAGCCGCCGAGCTGCAGGAGTCCCACGTATCCCTGTGTCGACAGTTATCTACCCTCTCTCGCCAAATCCGCGCCCTTACTTCCCAGCAAGGGCTACTCGTGCAGCGCCTCCACCGCGCGCGTGAAGCCTTTGCGTCCCTTTCCGCTAATCTATCGCCTGACGACGCGGCGCCCGTCCAAACGCTGCACGACCTTCTCAGGGCCGTGCGTGCCCGCGCAGGGCCCCCCACCTCGGCCTTAGGCCCACCTTTTCGCCAGCCCGATTCCCTGCGCGGCCGCGTGTGATCGGTTTCTGGCTGCGGGGGCAGGGGGCGCACAGTTTTCCGCAAGCCGCACGGCGCTCTAGCCAGTGTCCCCTGTCCGCCAACCAGGGCCTTGCCGACCTGGGCCCCTTCCGCCGCGGGGCGCCGAGAAACGTGGCGCATCGCCTGCTTAGCATCTTGCCTTTTTTACTTTTTGCTTCGGGGGTTGGTTGCTTCAACGCCCCCCGTGCCCAAAGGTGGGCACCACCGTTGAGCGTGCAATGGCGGCCTTGGCTACCGCAGTGGCCGGCTGTAGAAGGGGCTCCCGTTTGCTTGTCCGGTCTCTCTCTCTCTCTTTCTCTCTTTCTGTCTCTCTCTCTCTCTCTTTTTCTCTTTCTCTTTTCTCTCTCGTTTTCTTGTTCTCTCTCTCTCTCTCTGCCCCCCCCTTTCCTCGCCCCGTCGAGGCTCGGGGAGGAGGAGAAAGAGGAAAAGGGTGGAGGAGGAGGAGGAGGAGGACGAGGAGCTGGAGGAGGAGGAGGAGGAGGAGGGAGGAAAATGAGGAGGAGGAGGAGAAAACATAACAGGAGGAGGGGGAAGAGGAAGAGGAGGAGGAGGAGGAGGAGGACGAATAATAATAGTAATACTACTAAGAATAATCAGAATAATGAAAACAATAAGAAGAATAATAATACGAATAATAATACTAATACGAGTAAGAGATGACGAAGAATAATACTACTAATGATACTATTAACAGTTTTACTAAACTTATCAATACTAATACGAGTAATACTAACAAGAAGAATCATACACATTATAGGAACATATTAATAATACGACTACTAATACTAACAAGAGGAAAAATCTGATGATGATAAGGAGGAGGAAAAGGAGGAGGAGGCGGAGGAATGAAGAGGAGGAGGAGGAGGAGGAGGAGGAGGAGGAGGAGGAGGAGGAGGAGGAGGAGGAGGAGGAGGAGGAGAAGGAGAGGAGGAGGAGGAGGAGGAGGAGGAGGTGGAGGAGGTGGAGGAGGGAGGAAAAGAGGGGAGCATACGGAGGCTGGAATCTGGAGCCTGGAAGTACACCTCCGCGGCCCTCCAGAAACGTCGAGAGACCCATCCCGCCCCAGGGCCCGCCTCGCTCCCCCGCTCTCGCCCCCCCTCGCCCATCGAGTATCGAGTTTTTGTTGTTGTTGTTGTTGTTTTTGTTGTTGATGTTGTTGTTGTTGTTGGTGGTGGTGGTATTGTTGTTGTTGCTGCTGCTGTTGTTGTTGTTTCCTTGATCAGGGGATCGAGGGCCGAGGCTTGCTTTCGTGTTCGTGGCCTGTGTTTGGATCACAGATCGAGGGTCGATGTCTTCGAATCGAAGCTCGCGTTTGGATCGAGTTTTTTTGTGCGCTGGTCGTCGCTGTTGGGTTTCTAGGGGGCTCCTGGGGGCTTCGGGGGACTTCTTTGGAGACCTTAGCGCGCCTCTGGAGACCTCTGGAGGCCAAGCCCGCGGCAAATGCCCCGTTTCCTTCGCCCCCGTCGTCCAGCGAGGATCGAGGAGGAGATCGAGGTGGAGGAGGAGGAGAAGGAGGAGGAGGAACAGGAGGAGGAGGAGGAGGCGGAGGAGGAGGAGGAGGAGGAGGAGGAGGAAAAGAGGAGGAGGAGGAGGAGGAGGAGGAGGAGGAGGAGGAGGAGGAGGAGAGGAGGAGGAGGAGGAGGAGGAGGAGGAGGAGGAGGAGGAGGAGGAGGAGGAGGAGGAGGAGGAGGGGTCTGGAGGTTCGTCCCTGGTCCTCGCCCCCCCTCGTCCATATCGAGGACTCAGGTTCCGGGGTCGAGGGTGAGGTTCTCGTTCGGATAGTTGTCCGTTTTTGGATCCAGGTGTTTGGTGCGATTTTTGAACCGACCAGAACATGGCCTCTCTGTCGGCTTTCGAGAGGGCGTGCTGGCCGCAGTGTCTGCGGGCCTGCACCCGCAGGGTCCGGCCCTGGGCCGCTCCCACGGGAGGGCGTCCTGCGGACGCGTGCTCTGTCCACCTCCGATTTCTAGGCCTCCGGAGGCCCCCAGAGGCTCGCAGGGCCTCCAGCGTCAAGTCGGGCTGGTCCTCCTACAGGTGGATTTTGAACGACAAATCGAACATATTTCTAACATACCCCAGAGCGATCAAAAAATTCAAAAAATCGTCCCGGACTATTTTTTGACTATCTTTGAATATTCCTCCTGTAGAGTGACAGGCCCGACTTAACTCCAGCGACATCTGGAGACCCAGACCACCAGCGGCCTGATCTTTTCCGTCCTGGCGTGTCTCCTCTACTTGGGCTTCGGGGGGCCGTCTTCGGGCCCCGGGGCCATCCGAACACGATGCTGGACGAGCAGCCACCAGGGGTCGTGAATTCTGAGCCCATCTCTCATGCTCTCCGCCCCCTCCCCCCCCCCCCCACACACACATCCCTTACAGGTTCCCCGTCGGCCCTGGTGCCAGCCGGGCGCCTAGCGAAGTCGCATATCGATGGAGCATGTGCCGCTAGACTTCTTATAGCAAGATTTCGTATCGTAGGCGTCCGCTGCATCACCCTCGCCTCCATGCATCCTCCCTTCTGCCTCCCCTCCCCCTGGCTTTCCCCCCCCCTCCCCCTGGTTCCCCTGTCTCTAAACTCCCCCTCATGCTCCGCGCTTCCGGGCCCAGTCCTTGCCGTGACAGCCGCGGCTCTCAAGAATTCGTACACCAGCGCAACTCCAATTAAGCTGCGAGGCAACCGCGCCCTGCCTCACAGCTCCCTTTTTACTTGCCCCACGCAGTGCGGCCGCGCTGGCGCACTATTATACCTCGGAGAGAGGGGGTAAAGAAACCAGGCCTCCGGCGACTCGACAAAATCTTGCCAGAGGCCTTTCCTCGGTAATTTCTGCCTCCAGGGGCCGTCTCAGGGTCTCAGGACTGTCGAACACGGGCTCAGGGTGAGAAGCCGGCCCTGGGGAAGGGGTCACGAGTTCCAAGGGCTGGCGTCTTGAAAACAGCCAGTTGTCGCAGGTCGAGGTCCGGGAGTTCAGGCAGCAGGACAGGCGGTAGCCGTTGCGGGCACGGGAGAAGGAGGCCGAGGCGGAGGCGGAGGAGGAGGAGGCGTAGAGGGAAGAGGAGGGGGGCCAGAGTAAACGCAAGATGCATCAGAGATGCTGCAATACACCCTCCCGTCCCAAGTCCGCGCAGAAGTCCCTACAAGCCAAATGCCCCTTGAAAGGCGGGCGTCCTATGGGCCTGCCATGCAGGCGAGAGCCCCATCTTGAGAAGGAGTTGCCTTGCGTCCTTTCAGGGGGCAGTGAGGAGTGCGAAAAGGTATGATCATACACTTCAGCGAGGTGTCCAACACCATCCCCGCTTTGAGAAAAGGACCGCCCCATCTGTGTACCGTTTCTACAAGTTTGCGCTCCTGGTCATTCAGGAGCGAAAGAAGGACGTACGTGTACATTAATCCACGCTGGTTTCGAGAGTACGCATTGCGCACATGTTCGTATGACGCGGCCGGTCTCGCGGATCGAGGGGCCGTGTTCATGTACATAGCTGGGCGCGTACGTCCTTTGTGGGCTCCCTAGTCATGTATTCCGAGGAAGACTATAGCGAGAGCCCCGTTTTGAAACGAGCAGCCCACCACTTGTGCATTTGTTTCACATGTTCGAGCTTCGGAGGTTTATGTTTGCAGAAGCCGCTCACGAGCGGCAGGAAGTGTTGCGTGTCGACTCTGCTGAGTCGCGCTTAAGTCTCCTCCTCGTTCGCGTCATGGGCATTTTGCTAATGGACTTGGCGGTTTTAGCGCTACAAGCCCCATCTCGGAAAGTCACCGCCCCCCAGCCTTGGCGCTGCTGCAGGCTTGCAGCACGACTGTGCGCGGCGCGAAGGTTCTCCGGGCATTTCGGACGAAGGTGCGCGGCGCGGAGGCGAGGAACCCCATGGTGAAGACGATCCGCCCGTCCAATCGTGTCGCTGCTGCAAGCATTCAAGACACATGTGTGCGGCGCTCAGGCGAGGGCCCCATTTTGGAAAGGAGCTGTCCTCTGTGCTTGCAGCAGTTGTGACATTTTTCATTGGATGCGCGGCGCTGAGGGGAGAGTCCCATCTTGAGAACAAAGACGCTCCGTCCTTGTAGCCGGTGCCATATTTTAAGACAAGTGCACGCGGAGCTAAGGCGCGAACCCAATTGTTCACGCATCGCGTAACTATCCCCACCAGCCCATCCGAAAACAGCACATGATGCGACGCACACCGACTGTCGTGACTTTCGGGCGTGTCTCCTCCTGCTCTCGCATATCTCCTCCTCTTCCGCCCACCTATAATTTTCAGCTATACATTCTTGTGGGGACAGTTGGAGGAGGACGAGGTGGAGCAGGAGGAAGAGAAGGCGGTGTGCGGAGAGATGAGGATAGCGACGTCGAGGAGGACGACGGTGATGACCAGGATAACGAGGATGCACCCGACGACGAAGACGACGACGACGACTAAGTCAGCCATTACTTCGTTTCTGGGTTTGTCGCTCCTGGGGGCTATGTTGCAGGTCTTTGGGCCCTTTTGGGATCCTCGTGGTGCCTCTTGGGGCACCCTTGGGACTCTTTTGGGGGGTCTTGGGGCCCTCTTGGGGCTTTTTCGGGGGGTCTGTGAGGTCTCTTGGGGCCATCTTGGAGGCCACGGCTCAAAAAGGAGCGCGGCGTCAATTACGGCCCTCCCTTGGGAACCCGAAAAGTCACCTCTTGGGGCCCTCGTGGGCCGCTCTTGGGGCGGTCTTGGGGCTTTTGGCCCGTCTTG